CACACACACCCTCATTTGCGCCACTGATGTTAACAAGTACATTACACACAATTGAGTGAATTTACGACACAGTACTCCCACCCCCTGCCCTCCGTAGACATCTAAGCTATCCAAGCTGTCCATAGTTCCCTTTGTCCACACGTATCCCTTGAATAAGTAGCGTTCGTTCAGTACACGAAACTAAAGCAGCTGAATAAAGCATATAGTATCCCATTTTATAGTCCTGACTCCTGAATCCTATTAGTCCTATTAGTTAACTTGCACCGTAGCACGAGAACGAACGAATAGCCTCATTAACTGAACGGCAGAGTCGTACTAGTTCACATGCACAACTCAACGAAAGCATACGAATAGCCTCATTAGAGAGTTTAAGTTTAACTTCCGATACCGATACCGATATCATCACTTCCGTCGGTATTTTTAGTAGCGGGTATTTCAAAGTATTAAGTTACACGACGGGTGAATTATCAAAACAATCAATCAATCAATCAATCAATCAATCAATCAATCAATCAATCAATCAATCAATACAAATTTATTTAAACACGATGTTTTGAGCGAAGAAGAATCTTTCTTAGCATTTAAGTTAGTTTCAACGAGTAATGAAAACGAACCAATAGAGCACAGAAATTACGAAAGGCTAGATCTTCAAGAGTTTCAAAAAAAAAGTTTAAAAAAGTTTTAAAAAGAAAAAAAAGTTTAAAAAGTTAGATTTTCAAAAAAGTTTAAAAAGTTAGATTAGGGTTAGGGGGTTGGGGTTAGGGGTTAGGGGTTAGGGGTTAAGGGTTAGGGGTTAGGGTTAGTGTTAGGGGTTAAATGCAGCGAATTTATCATTATAATAAATTCAAAATGAGCCGCGAATTTATCAGAATGATAAATTCGGACGCGTTTAAGAATTTACTCATATAGTAAATTCAAAGATGGAGCTCATGCTGAGTTATCAGGGTGCGGCACGGTATAGCATTGAAGGTTTGTGTCTGCTTTTGCGTAGGTTAGCATACCCCTGCCGTTATGTTGACCTAATCCATCTCTTTGGCCGTTCTAAAGCAGAGCTATCAATCATTGGTAATGATGTGCTAGATTTCATAAACATTTGCTGAACTCTTTCGTTGCTCCATGGATGAGCGAAAGAAACTTGGGAATATATTGTGAAGCAGTTCACAGAAAAGGAGCAGCGTTAGATAATTGTTGGGGCTTTGTAGATGGGACGGTAAATTGCATGCATAGTTAACCCAAAAATCTGACAATGTATCTAGTAACCCATTGAGCCGCAATGCGCCCTATTGATCTACTTAGCTAACGCCAGACACCTTTTTCCCAGGGATAGGTCCCCCCCTCAAAACAGCGAGAGAATTTGCGGGGCCCATGGTAAATCTTCCCTGGGGGCCCTATGACATCATATTTTTAAGTTAGACCCAACTAGACCCTACCTAGACTGGATGTAGAGGCACTGTAAGGGGCCCTCAATTTCAAAAATTCTCTGATCAATTTAAAGAACTTACTCGATTTTAGGCTCTCGCTGTCAAATTGGGGCCCTATTAAGGTGGGGCCTGGGGCAATTTGCCCTGCCCCCCCCCCTCCCCTCGGCGGCCCTGCCCAAAAATAATCACTACTTGTCAATCCTCCCTCTTCCGTCACAGATACATGTTTAAAAATGGATCTGCATTCACTGTCAGTAATATATTTCTATTTCCTACCCAGGTTCGTCCGATATTTCGACCTGGAAAATACCAGAGACGTAATATATGAACAACGAGAACGAGTGTTTCACCGGGATATCCAAACACGAGAAAACAATGTATGCATGCGTAATTAAGATATTTGATGAAAACACTAGTGACGTTCATCAAGTTTCACCGGGTTATCTAGATGGCATCCTGTGATCAAATAGGTGATTATCATTGGTTGAAATGCTCATGAATTAATAATGATTTTGAGACGTGTTCATGCACTGAAGTACCAATCAGTCGTAGCAGCAAATGGTATATGTATAGGTATATGTTTTTGGGTTAGAATATTTTAATATGGCATATGCCAGTATTTGTCAATGTTTTCAAATGATTTCTCTTAATAAAAAATATATTGCAAATCTCTGGCTGTTTTATAGAAGGTAAAAGGCATGATGCCAGAATATTTGTCGAGTCTGGCTTACAAGAACAGCTACAACTACATTCTTTTGATGAAGATAACAGATCCTTATGTATATATGGAGATGTAGCTTATCTTGTTACACGGCATGTACAAGGTCCTTTTAAGTGGGAAAACCTCACCGAGCCACAAAAGGCATTCAGCACCTCAATGAGTAGGGTGCGAATAGCAGTAGAGTGGCAATTTGGAGGAATAAGCACATATTTTTCATTTGTGGACTTCAAAAAAAGACTTGAAACTCTACTTGCAAGCAGTTGGGAAGCTGTATGTATTGTTAGCACTATATATAATGCTAGAGCTTGCCTTTATGGTAACACAATAAGTGCTTTTTTTGAAACACGACCACCTAGCTTGGAATTCACTTGGGATTTATTGAATAACATGTATAAACATGTACTGTATATTTATATATAATATATATATACAAATGTAACATATTATTACTTACAATAAGTATTTTTCCATAAATATTAAAATATTAACAATTAATCATACCAATTTATAACAAGAAAAATGCACATGTATATATTAGCATCAGCCTTTCTACAAAATCCAATGAAAACATATTGCTTGAACTCAACAAATGTAAGATAATTAACAATTATACCATGAGCTCGAGTCGTATATGAGCTGATAGCCGCGACGAGGTGCGTAGCACCGAGTCGGCTATCAGCCATATACGACGAGAGCGAATGCTATAATTGTTTTATAATATAGTCTAATAGCCATTAACTGAAGCAATAATTAATTATCCTGTGTTACAATGTCTTGACAATTTATTCGGCCAAAAACCGCTTGGCCTTGAAAATTTGAAATATTTTTGTTTTACAACTCGAAGACGAAGTGACAGAAATGGTTTTAGAAGCGGATATCTCACAGAAAAGCTCAGATATATTATACGGGTGTTTGGTAATATATAGTAAGTGCCTGTTGACTGCAAATTCATTTGTCTTTCATCGCAAACTTTTCTGAACAATTTATATTCTCACTGAACATGTTTTTTTCGCTGTTGTTTCGGTATTAATTCTTTAAAAAAACTTGTATTTAAACTAATTTCTATGAAATAAATTGTATTTGCTAACCTGTCAAATTTTTTTGAGAGTTTTTCCTTGTACTATTATCTTTCTCAAAGCGAATATTTTCCTTTTTTCTGCTTCGCAAAACTGCATGTAGTATTTGGACCGCCATCTTGTTTTTCGATACTCGCCGTATATGAGCTGATATACGGCGAGTAATTCAACCAATCAGATTGCAGAACAGCTCATATACGGTGAATGGCTATATTATAATATTGTTTATACAAAACTACTTGTCTTTAATGTCTCTTAAAACTTTAAGCAGTTCCAGTTGAACTTGACTATTTTGAACTTGTAACTCTGTCATCATCTTTTGTTGCTGTTGTTGAAAGACCTGTTTTTGTGTTTGATTTTCTAGATGCATCTGCATGATTTGTTGTTGATAGGCGTGTGTTTATTGTTGAATAAGCCAAGCTTGTTGCTGCTGCTGCTGCTGCTGCTGTTGAGCAACAACATCTGCAAACAAATCATGCCTTTCTTTATCTGCCTGTAAACGTTTCGCTTCAAGTGCATTTTGCTTCCAACTCATTTTTTGGCATTCCTTCCTTCTTCAATCAATTCTTTTTAACACTGTTGATTTCCGTTTAATAGGATTGTTTACCTTATTTTCCATTGCTTGGGTCCTCACATCTGCAATCTGTTGTCTCTCGTCATCTGCAGCTTTCTCTTTCTCTTCAAGCTGTTTTGCCAAAGCTGTCGCAGCATCACGTGCTCTTTCATATATATCAAGTAACAGCTGCTCAAGGTCGCCAAATTCTTCCTCAATCCCTGTAGCTACTATTTCTTCTCTTTCATTCTTAACAAAGTCTTCCATTAACTTGTCATATTGTGTACGTACTCCACTCGCGCTGTGTTGTGTTTAAACCTGACCCAGGAATTCTATTCAAGGTACTTGCAATTGCACTCCATTTCCCACCCCTTTCCTTTGAACCATTGTTGTAATTGTAGGGTTCTTGTGCTAATACTTCCTTTAGAAGAAGGATATTATGATCACGTTTCCACCGAAAAACCTTTTCCTTTCTGAAATATTAATAAACAAGTGCCTGCTAAATAACTACCATTGTGATAAGCAATAATTAAACCACACGAGATATAAAACGCATATTTTGACATTTAATTTGACATATAATATTGACATATAATTGTCAGTGAAATGTGCTGTGAATAAAACGAATGCTTGGCCTAAAATTCCAACTAAAACTTGGAATAAACAAATACTTTATGTGCTTAGGAAGCGGTCATAAAGTAAGTGCTACCCCGGGGCGGAGGATATTGGGATGGGGTATGAAAAGTTTTTTCAGGGATTTGGGTGGGGTATGAAATAAATTTATCACTTTAAAGAGGGGGTATGAAACAGAATTTGTTTGTTTCAATACAAAAATTGTGTTAATACAGTTTAATATCACGGCTTCGTTCATGGTCCAAATAAGTAGTCTCCCTTGCAGTTGCTCTTTGTGTTGTGATTTTATTCCTCTTCATGAGCTCGTGTGCAGGAGTACATGATGACATAAATATTATTCAAAGAGCGGCTGTAAGAGAGACTATTGCACCGCAAATTTAATACACAGTATTATAATTTTTAACCCTAAATATCCCAAATAAATATTTACCCGTCATTCCTGAACAAATGTTCCCATTTGCCTGTGTTTTCATGACTTTTAATATTTTTCCTCTGCCGTCATTCAAAGTTATCCGGACGTTTGACGGCATTTGTCAAACAAGGTGTCAGGGACAAAAATGGAAAAAGGTGGGTTGGACAGTATTTTTTGGCTGAACCACTTCCAAAGACATAGATAACATAATAGCATAGTTGCCCGGGTTTATTTTGTTTCAACAGGGACGATTACTAACTAATCGCCCGCTGTAGCGGTTAAGGTTAGGGGTCGATTAGTTCTAATCGCCCGTTGGCAAGGGTCTAGTGATGGGCGATACTATCGATAAAGTATCGAAATCATCGATACTTACAAAAGTATCGATACTCTCGATACTCGCAAAAAGTATCGGTAATTCGATACCGCGTTAGCCTGCAATGTTTTTGATCCTTTAACCTGGTGGAAGATACATGAAAAGCGTTTTAATCTGCGCTCTCAACTTGCCAAGAAGTATTTGTGTGTTCCATTGTCCCATCGGAAAGACTATTTATATATTAAAATGTTCTGTGCCTTTGGCACGAGCCCCCCCCCCCTCCCCTCCTCCCCAATATTTCATAAAGTGTCCGCCACTTGCACACACGGTGGCTTAAAAGGTCTTAAAACTGTTTATTCTACCGATAAATAAAGGGTTTTTTATTGACTGGGATTTCAATAACTCGGACTGGGATTTCTAATAAAAATCCAACTGGGACTGAGATTTTTGCCAAAATTTCAGGTGGGAAATGGAATTGGGACCTCCCCCCCCCCCCCTTCAGGACCCTCTTGCCTTGATTTCTTCATTTCGAGACGACTTTGGCTCTGTCATCGATGGTATATTTTCATCCTCAAGTGTTGCGAACTGATTTTCAGTATGTACTGGACTGGAGGCTGAAGGTTTGCTCTTTGGTGAATTTACTTTTGCTTCCACTTTGATCCATTCGTTTTGTTTTATATCGAGAACTTGTTTTATCCCATTATTGTCCTTGGTGATTATTTTGGCATCGGATTCTTCTGCTCGCGAAATCGAATTTTGGCGTTCTTTATCTTGGCTTGATTGAATATCTGTGAGTATATTCATTATCTTTGTGATTTCTTCTTTTAAGTTCTTACAGCAAGGGCATGGCGATTTTTCGTTCACACAAGTGTCGTCTTTAATGTCCGTTGCGTCGACACGTGTTTTGATTTCTCAAAGGCTAAGCGCTCGATTAAATCTTCATTCAAACCGGACTTATTGAATCCTCTTTTTTCCAGTTCAGCCCTTAGGTCAACCACACGAAGTTGGTTCAGGTTTTTTTCTACTGAAAGAGGCCATTTCCACCGGTGTCAATGCTTTTGTGAAAATTTGCACCGAGTCTGAAATTTCGCGCGAAATATCTTGACAAATACGTTGCGAGATAACTCCAAAGTTATATCAGTAGAATCAGCGAAAAATTGCCAAAATTTCAGGTGGGATCCCTCAGAAATCCCTGGATCCCTTAGAAAACTCGTGCATATACGGAGCTCCGCTCGTGCCTTCAGCACTTCCACCATGGGGGCCTTCGAAAATGTTGAATCGGGGTCCCTGATATAACGTTACGCCACTGATATATGCATGGAGAATAAAATGTTACCCAAAATTGCTAAACACAGCAGAGCGATTGCAATCACATGTAATAATCCATGTCTACCATGGTTACGGGTGAAATGATTTAAAAAACACGTATATTTGGATAAATCCTACCAATAAAATGTTACCCAAAATTGCTAAACACAGCAGAGCGATTGCAATCACATGTAATAATCCATGTCTACCATGGTTACGGGTGAAATGATTTAAAAAACACGTATATTTGGATAAATCCTACCAGTGAAATGATTTAAAAAGCACGTATATTTGGATACCAACCTAAAATGTCGTGTTCTGTGATTGGCCTCAACCAATCACAAAGCCATGTTCATATAGGTTGGTGGCGACCCAATGTGCATTATTAACATAACTGATCATGAATATTCATTCGCTAACGTCGAGTTGTGCACTTGTGCATGTCAACTACTGCAACATACGTGAGGCCTCAACAAGGTCCTCTGGCCCGCAGATGGTTGTCGAATATGCGTATTACGTAATTACGTTGGAAAATGATGTCATACCGAAACTTGTGCCTATTATGCTCGCTTTTTGCCTATTATGCTCGATCTCAAAATGATTCCCTATTATGCTAAAAGAAATTCTGTCATAATGTGCCTGTTCCTAGTTACGATACGGTTGAAGTGTATTAATTAATTAATACGTCAAATTTGACCAATCAACTTGTACGATTTGTTATATTCACTTGTGCAAAAATACTAAAGGGTATTATTAAGGCAAGGGTTACGGTTAGGATCAACAAAATTTTGAGACCCAAAATCCAAACCCTTGCATATGCGCAATACACACATGTTTTCTTTATGTATTAATACATGCTTGCTTGCCTGCTTGCTTACTTGCTTACTTGCTTACTTGCTCACTTACTTAATTATTAAGGCAAGGGTTACGGTTAGGATCAACAAAATTTTGAGACCCAAAATCCAAACCCTTGCATATGCGCAATACACACATGTTTTCTTTATGTATTAATACATGCTTGCTTGCCCTTGCTTGCTTACTTGCTTACTTGCTTACTTGCTTACTGGCTGCTTGCTTTCTTGCTTGCTTGCCTACTTAACTTGCCTGCTTACTTAATTGGCAGATTGCATTTATTTTCCGCACAGGGGGGTTGAGATCATCTTTTTACCAGCTAAATTGTTATCCCCTTGGAATTCAGTTTATATACCCCCTCCCTGGAATTTCCTAGAAATTCATTGCTAGACACCCCTGGAAAATGGCTTTAATCGCAGACCAACACCTGGATTTTGGTCTCTGATTACCCCACCCCCTGGATTTCTGCAGTCTTTTCCACCCCTCCCCCTGGATTTTCCAAGGCCTTATTTACACCCCTTCCCTGGATTTTCCATTGTCCTTAACCCCCTGTGCAGACAATAAATGCAATCTGCCATCACTTATTTACACTTATACAGCCGACTTACTTACACTATAGTCTATTCAGCGGAATTTCATTAACTGGCGGCTTATTGTTTGCTGGGAAATATTTTTTCTTGAGCCACTGATAATTTCTTCGTTTGAAGACAAACGCAATACCAATGTAGGCACCAGTAAGCAACGTTACAGTATACAACGCTATCTTTATGTCGAAATCAAAGTCCACGATTCTAGATATGAAGAGAGGAAACCAATAACTTAAGGCTGTAGTGGTTGACAGCTTGAGCAATATGACAAATTTACGACGCTTAACAATATTCGATTTCTGTGCAATGTTCCTGCTTGCCTTGAGTTTTTGCGAATTCGATAAGCAGTGAGGAGGAACATTCCAATTATGTATAACAAAAGAAAACCTTGAAGGCCATATACATCAATAGCAGCTGACCAATCGGGAGTAATTCGACCATTGATACAATCTCCAGAGATCTGTTGATAAATCCTTGCATCATCTTCTTTCCCATCTCCATTTGCAAATACAATGCGTTCATAAAGCGTTCATATCAACAATGCGTTCATATCAAGAATATGTTGATAAATTCTTGCATCATCTTCCATCGCATCTTCCTTCCCAATTACAATGCCTTGATTTAACCTTGACTGGACATCTTCAAGTGCATTGTCATTGCTTTCATTATACCTCAACTTTGACCAAAGGACATTTCCTTTCAAGGATGCAACACGGTGATAAATCCTTATATTATTTGTCGTCGCATCTCGATTCACAAATTCAATGCGTTGATAAAACTTTAAGCTGGACTGAAGATCTTTATTGAAAGATGCAATAGGTTGATCAAACCTTAGAACATCTTCCTTTGCTAGTACAATGTAAACAATCGTTATAATGACTGGAACTCCCCAGCTAAAGAGACCATACTTCAATAACCTGTTCCATTTCTTCAGTTCATCAGATTTCACTAGAGTATTTCCGCAAAATGGGTTTTTTAAGTGATAAATATTAACCGCAGCATTCATAATTATGCTATACGTCATAAACTTATTTGCTACAAACAGCCTAGCACACGGTATCTCAAACAGTTTACCAACATGAGAATACAGTGATAAAAATACTACAAGGTAAGTCTGCCACAACAGCAAGGCGAAGCTAAAACTCATTAAACTCAAACCAGGAAGTGTGCGCAGTTCTGGAAGCATGCAGTAAACTATCAACAGCAGTAGCAAAGAAATAATAGAAAGTGCTAAAGCACATAATGGTGCTATAATAATCTTGAAGTTTGTAATTACGTAAATTGGTCTTAAGTTTTCTTTGCCGCATACATAAGGTTTACCGTCTATCACCGCATAGTAATTTCTTTTAAAATATTGACCGTTATCTGCTGAATACACAGCAAACTGCTTTGTCACAGTGTAGTATCTTGCATTTATTTATAAGAACGATAACAGGATGCGTGTAATGACTTTTCCCACGAATTTCGCGTTCCCCAAATCGCCTGAACTCTTGAATCATTGGAACCACACATTTCAAGACTGTCGTGGCTGAATCGATATTCGCGATAATCGTATACCTTGATGTTGTAAACAAGCGAAAAGTCTTTAAAAACATTGTATTGATCACCGAACTTCACTTTACCAAATCATCATTGCAGGACAATCTGAGCTTTCTTGAACAAATTGCAAAATACCCCAAAATCACTCCGTAATCTTGCCTTGTGAAATTTTGATTGGTAGGTTTGAAGAAAACAGTAAAGTTTGTATGTAATGTGTAATTTTCGGAATAAAAACCGTCCACAGATACATTACAATGTTTGAAAGCTGCCGTTTTCTTTTCCGAAACAATGAAATTCAGCCATTTTTCTTTAATAAGACGGTCAGAAGAATTACAAACTTGTAGACCATCATCCGTTATTATGTACTCATCATAATAGTACATTCGACCTTGGTACATCATTGAGAAGTTGTTCCATACTCTGTATTCGTCTTCATACTTTATAGTAAAAGTAACTTTGGCGCATTCGGTCACACATGTTATAATTTTACCTTTAAACACAGCATAATCGTACTTTGTTATCAGCTTCTTTGTTGCCAAAATCATAACTCTAAAATGTTTAAGCACAGTGTATTCCCATCGGTCGAACTGAATGTATGTCATGGGTTTATTGCAACTCTTTTGATGCATTGTACCTTTTACCCAGACATTGCGTAGTTTCCAACTATTCCGCACGTAGTTATCAGTGGAGTTACAAATCTTTATGCTATCATTCAGAACTCGATACTCAGTATAATTGTACACCTTGTTCTTATAGAGTATTGAAAAGTCAATCTGAACTTTGTATTCATCATCGTATTTTATATTGATGATTGAATCGTTGCACATTAATAGATCTTCCTAGGTATACTCTGTTGATTTGGGTCTCAACTTTTCTTGGCATATTGTAAGTTTACCGTCGTGCACCGCATAGTCATTTCTTGTGAAATATTGACTCCTAGCTGCGAGATAGACTGTGAACTGCTTATTCACAGTATAATACTTTCGATACAACCAAATTAAGGCTCTAAAGGTTTATTGCAAATTTTTCGATGCATTTGTGCCTTTACCCAGTCATTACGTAATTTCCAAATGTTACGAAAGTATATCTAAATAGTATAAAAATAGTTCAGTTTGCACCCCAGGTAATTATAGATACTAGTTACGTCAAATGTAGCCTGCGTGGCAGGCTCTCTGGGTTTGGGGGAGGCGATTGTGGAAAAATGGGAAGAGGGGGGCGAGAGGGAGAGCCTGCCGTAATGCCCCAGTATTTTTCATGTTTTGCGGCCGTGAGAGGCCGTAGAATCCTATTGGCTTATTGGTGTAATATATGCAAATTTATTTCACCGGAAGGAATTTGAGTAGTTGAAAAATAATTTTAGAAATGGCGTCTCTTGTACAGGGAAATAACAACAGTTTAGTATCCAAAATAAGGGCAATCGATCCTTATCTTAAGAAAGAGCAAGAACAAGCTGTAGAAAAACTCTTACTTGGTGACGATGTCCTCGCTATTTTACCCACAGGTTTTGGCAAAAGTAGAATTTTCCAAGCATATTCGCGTGTGAAAGATAACGAAATGAATGGTTGTTCGGTTGTTCTCGTCATTGCCCCTCTATCAAGCATAATTGATGACCAGATAACTGCTTTAAAGTCTTCTGGTTACCCTGCAACCGACGTGAAATTTTTACAACATGAAGATCTGGACAGATGCGATTTTAAAGTACTGTTTAGCTCAGCAGAAAACGTGTTAACAACGAAATTTCAAGACCACCTTCTCAATCGTCAATCAGAGCTTCATAAGCGAGTCTGTTGCATTGTGGTGGATGAAGCACACACAGTAGAAACTTGGACTGGAAAAAGGTGAGCATAAATATAATTCCAACGGCAACACTGTGTCACAACGTCGTATATTTGAGTGAATCAGTGAATGAAGCGATTTAAATTAATATTTAATCTAAGAATTTGTACTCATGCATTCTCATACTTCATTTTTAAGGAAAAAACGTATGAATTCAAGAAGAAAACCAGACGATATATTTAGATGTGCGTTTGGAAAGTTGGCTACCCTTCGTTCTTTCTGCAGAGAAGGTAAACACCGTTCAATTAAATTAATTAATTATCACATAGAATCGTGTTTTACAGGACAAGACATCTGCGTACGGGACTGATGTGGGGGCAGTTGAAAGTTTCTCCAAATTTGTATGGTGGATTGTAATGAAATTTATACCCGACTTTAAACTATTTTCTGATAAATCTGCCCGAATTGTCTTCATTTTACCTAGCAATTGCCAGAATTTCCACGGTTTTCTAAAATTGGGGGGGGGGGGCTGTCTTGTACACCTGTGACAACAGATGATTTGCCATGCATCGCTTTCTGCTGCGTTATAATTAAAAATTTACATATCAATGACAATGTTGTATCCACAAAATTTGTATGATAATGTAGTTAACTTTTCGTAAAGATTATCCGAGGGAGTAAGTTAATACTACTAGTACATTGGCAAATTGCAGAGTGTTTCACTAAACAATATTTATCTAATTTCTCAGTTGTAACCATGGTTGTAAGAAATAGAATTGTGTTAGCTCTGTAATGGCTAATTCTGTATTACTGATGTTATTATCTTTTGTACAAACTGTTTTGTACAAGCTGTTCTATTATCTTTTGTACAAGCTGTATAATTAGTTACAAACAGATACAGAAAAAAAATTAATTTCGATTTACTCTTATTTCTCAAGTTTTGCTTCAATAGGTACTCCTGTACTTGCACTAACTGGGACTGCTGATGGTATGACACAGAAAACAATATGTGAACAGTTAATAATGAAAACCCCACATATTATCAACATTAGTCCCAACAGGAAAAACCTAAGATTCTCAGTGCAAAAATGCTCAAAAAGTGATAGGCACAAACAGCTGGATTGGCTTGTTGAATTGGTTAAAAATGTCATCGATAAATCAACAGAAAAGATACCAAAAACCATAATATTTTGCAATTCACTTAAAGATATTGCAGTGGTTTTAAATTATCTTCTTCTTAAACTTGGTTTATATGCTTATGGGAGGTCTAAGAAAAATACTCCTGAGAACTTGGTAATTGGCATTTTTCATTCATTGTCATGGCCGCATTGTAAGGAACAAATTCAACAATCAATTAGACAAGATGGAATTCAGAGGATCAATGTTGCAAGCTCAGCTTTGAGTATGGGTGTTGATTTCCCCAACATTAGATATGTGATAAATTGGGGTCCTGCTCGTTCTTTAATTGAGCAGCATCAGGAAGCTGGACGAGCTGGTAGAGATGGTACACAATTCCACATAGTAATATGCTACCATGGAAATCAGTTAAGCAAATGTGATGAAGATGTCAAAAACTTTGTCAAAACAGAAGGCTGTTTTCGAGTTGCAGCATACAAGCCATTTGATAAAACTATTGCACCCTTAACTGTTCATCACAATTGTTGTTCAAATTGTGCAAGAAACTGTTCCTGTCAACATAATGGGTGCAACATCAAACTTCCTTTTGAAGATGAAGTGATTGGGTCAGAAGATCAGGTGTCCATGACCAGGGTAGTTACACAAGAAGACCGAAAAGATGTTGAAAATGCATTTCTTGAGGTATTCAAAGAGCTATCATCAGGTCAAATTTGGTTTATGTCATGGTTTTGCTGGTGAGCTGGTAAATAGCATATTTGAAAATTGTCATAAGCTGTTCACCATTGATAACATTAACACTTATTTGCCAGTTTTTTCTCTCAGTCACACTTTAAAATTTTTAGAAGTTTTGCATGAAATTTGTGATGACATTTCAGCAATAGATACTATTTTAGAAATGATGCAAGATTTTGACCCATTTTTTCAGGCTGAGGAGTCAATCCTTGATATGTCTGAACAGTACAACTATGAATTTGATGAATCAGACTCAAGTAATAGTTTAGATACTGATGAATGTTAAATGCCTGCTTCAGATTACTGTTTGTAATATAATATAGATTATAAAAAATAGATTATTTACAGATTATTTTTCATAAATTGCCTCCCATTGCTCTAGATGACCTTTCATCCATGAATGCAAATCTCTGAAATCTAATGACTGTAGGAGATGTGCTGGAAATTGAGGAAATGATGGATATCCATTCCTTCTTGGAGTGTAATTGAATGTTCGTTTCTCTATGAGATCGTTCACAATTTTATTTACGGTGTCTTCCGTTTTGCCTTTTGAACGGTACCTTATTCGGCCATCAAGAGCACAGTCTTTGTCTATTGATTCTATAATGCATTCTAGACTTTCAATGGCATTTGCCACCCTGGCAGCACTGTCTTTATTTAGGTTGGCACCTACGCCTCTCCACAATGTTTTTAGTAACTTATTCAACTGTTCCATCTTCAGATCTGATGAAATGTTACATCCTTTTCCACCTGATCTGCTATAAAATCTATTATATTTCAGTGATGCAGCCTGCATCTCTGATATGGCTGCCTCGACCTTTACCAGATACAAAAATATTACATATGCATATTTATGATGACCGTAACATTTGTAAAATAGTAAGGCAAATTTATAAACATTTAACAATCTATCACCATCTCCTTCCTTGACAGCATCTTCAAATTCAAATAACAGCAAACCAAATGTTAATTTGCTCCTGTGATAGTCGAAGATATAATCCTCTGTGTCCTCCTTCATGTTTTGCACAGGTACTTAGCCTTGATCATGTGCCACGAATGTTGGGTGCTTTGATATTTCATGCCTGATAAAACCAATTTCAAAAATACAGTAGTACATACATGTACATATGTAGTGTTCAAAATTTTGTATTTAAAAGTTGGTTAATTTAATAAAATATGTAACTACCTATTTCGTGTTGTTCTAGTGCTATATACCAATCCGCATCTTGCTCTACAATAATAGTAGCCTGTGTAACTTAGCTCTACTTTCAAATTGTGATGTTCAACTTCATGTCTGCAAAAAAAGTTATTGGTATTATCTAATTTTTTAAACTTTTTTACTTGCGTGTGGTATACCAGTACTGTACAATAACTGGTACAAAATAACAACAGTCAACAGAGTCAACAAAATTAATTACAACTAAGTACAAAATAACAACAGAGTCAACATAATTATATAATTGTGTGACTTATAGACTGGCGTATGGATCATAGACTAATCACCCCTCGTTTGTTGTCCGCACTGATGAGCACATATCCAATTCATCTGAAGGTAAATACTACAGAGACGGATTTTCATATTTTCGTTCGGGGGGTGGATAAATATCTGGGGGGGGGGCGATGCTGCTGCTTGCTTTGGCCGGGGCGTGGTGGCAACGCCCGGAAAGGCCAAGGAAAAAGTTTAATAAAATTTGTTTTCTAGGCCTGCAGGCCCTGCATGGCGAGATCTGAGACCATAATATTGGTAATTTTACAAATTTAGTAGTAAGAATAATCAAATATGAAACTATCAAATCAAAATAGATGTAATTTGCGGGGATGCCAAATGCCTTTGGGGGGTGGGGGGGTGCAAATAATTTATGGGGGATGCGCACCCCCAGCACACCCCCAGAAAATCCATGCCTGAAATACTAAGTTTGTTAAAAACCAACCAAAGGATGATGGCTAGTGATTTTTTAATTTCAGAGTGTTGGGGCAGATTCTTACTTGACTCTTGTAGAGTGGTAGGCACTTTTATATTGACATCCTTCAAAACGACAGAGAAAAGGACCATGAGATTTTGCATTTAGTTCACCCACTTTTTCAACCAAGCCACTAATTTCTTCTCCTCCAATATATTGGTCAATGTATTTTTGGCACAATTCCAAAAACCATCTTCCTCTATTTTCCTTTCCAACATCTGATGTTGGCATTGTCATGTTTGGTTTATCTGTCAGATTACATAAAATACTGTATTACAGTGTACAATCTATATAGTGTATATTATTTCCCTTTTTATCATCTTTATAGGTTACAGCAGTCCATCCAACATTCTAAAATATAACATACCCTCTATTTGTTTTAAACTTATCATCTCCATGAACGATGCACATATATGTGCCTCGATTTCAGCCTGGTGAAAGTCCTTGTACTCGTTATAATGTTTCTCCACACCTTGAGCAGCCCTTGTCTTTCCAGTTCGATTCATTGTTGCTCTACTTGTTCCTATCTGTGCTGCAGATGATTCACTAACAAATATGTCAAATTCAATCTATTAAAAAACATGAAAATTACAATTACATTCATGGGTGTTACCTGGCAGGCAGTATACCTACAAATAGTGGTAATGTATTATATATGTTTTCAAAACTAATAATCATAGACGCTTGTATTTTGCTAACACATAAGAAATATAATGTAGTTGTAGTAAAAAGTACATTGTGCATAGGTGTACAGGACGGGGGGGGGCAGGAGCTGCCCCCAATTTGTTAGGCAGGCCAGTCGGGCAATATTTACTTCACATTCGGGCAATATTGGCTAATTATTATAAAAATAAATAGGAGAAATTCCTTCAATATTGGGGGAAATATGCTAATATAATAGTAAAAAATTTTGTTCCCCCCTCCCCCCTCAATATAAAAATCATAATAAATTATAATACACCCCCCCCTGCCCCACCTGTCAACAACAATTTTGGAAAGTTTGCATGGAAAATTGTTTTGACAAGTCGGGCATAATGGAAAAAAGTTGGGCAAATTTTTTTCTGCCCCATTAATGTTTTCCTTCCCATATGTCCTATGATTGTGTGTCTTCAAACACAAGCACTGTTTGAGACCGGTCTAGTTTACTGGTAAATGTAGGCCCGGCTTCTGGAAGTTGGGTGTGAAAGAGTTCAAACTTATTTTCTAAAAGACATACATTGTACAAATTTACTTTTGCATGCCAGTCAGCTGCTTCAGTTGTAATGCCTTCTAGTCGATCATATTTACTTGTTCCATCCTGAAATGTCCATTGAACATTTCTACAGCGCTCTTCAAATAACTGATCACCATGCATTGGTACCTCCATGAGAATATCTGGTACATCATTTACCATATTAGATGGTGCATACTTTTGTTGGTTGGTCATGATAAGCTGGGCCATTTCTCCTGCGATATTGGGATTACTAAACTGAAGTCCAAGACAACACTATAAAAATAGTTAAAAATACATTTATTTTCAAATAAAAGTTTTGGGCAAGGATCATCCACAACAGCATAACTCTTTCTTCATATTGGGATTTTTTTTAAATTTAATGTAGACTTGATCACTGACACATAAATGCCACTTTGACTATATAACAATACGATGAAGTCATGTAACAGAAAATGTGTCAGGAAAACAAGCTTCTACAACTTTGCATAATATCAGAACATTTTTAACAGTTTTTATTTTGGTTTAATATTACATAATTACTGGGCATTTTTTAAGAAATTACAACTACTGGGGCTAAATCTCAATGATTGCCTTTTCCCCTCACAGTTACGTATACATAAAGACCAGTAGTCTGCATGGCAAGCTCAGCAGGCTAATAAAGACCATGCTGTCCTGAATTTTATAAAATGGAACATCGAGGATGTGAGAATGAGATATGAGAATTAAAGCAGGCAGTTGCAGCATTAATTTTCAACAAGGATGATGTTTTACTAATGATCAAAAGGGCACAGCTCATCTGAAAATATTGCTTCACTACTGTGGCAAGCAAAGGGCCTACTCATGGGTAGATGCCCCAGTGGTTATTTACTTAGCATATAAAGACAAATCATTTTACTGGATGAAACATGAAATGGGATCCACTAACAAATTGACAAATTCGGATATGTGGGAACTGATATATTCTTCCTTTTGAATATCAAGACTTCAGGTCGGACATGTCAGTATCATATGCTCCTGGGAAATATCGAGTATAACCACTGTTCCTATTGCTATATATATGTAGAAAACCCTCCATTATTTTATTTTTATGTAGTGAGATGACTTACAATGTCTGATTTCTGTGACATTTCTTTTGAATATTTATGGGAGATATGTCGCACTACACAGTCTTGCAAGTGCTTGAAACTATCAAGATATTTGCTGATGACTCTGCTAACCAAGATTGAACAGTTCCATTTGATTAGTAGTTTGGAGTTGTCAAATGAAGATATATCAATTCGGTTCAACACAGCATACTGTTGGGTCCAATGAATGGACTGGTTTGTGCGGTCAGTGGACTGGTATCTAGCTTGAATGTGATAGTCAATATTATCACCAACTAATCTATGAGGGAAAAGTATACAGAATCATTTGTCTTACATAATCTGCTGATAGAACTGTAGCTACAATACAGTACTATAATGGTGACTGATCTTATATTCTATATACTTAATATATAACTATACACGATCAGCAATCACTATGCTGCTATTAATCCAGGGTCTGTACTAAAGTAATTACATAATTTATGAACATAGCTGCCACATATTCGTAAGGGAGATCCCCCTACATTTAACAATTATTCGCCAAAGGCGAGGTGATTATCGGTGAATAAAAACCGAGACGAAGTCGAGGTTTTTATTCACGATAATCACCGAGCCTGAGGTGAATAATTGTTTTAGTATAATTTCATAGGTGATTATTTGGAAAAAAATAAGAAAATACACATTTCTTCGTCATTTAATTGACAAAAAGGCTTCGGCCCCCATTTTGAAAATCGCTTAGGTGATTATCGCGTAATAATCACCTCAACGACAACCAATCAGCGTGGAGAATTTTCAATAATCACCTATGTAATTATACTAATAGGAGACTATTGCAATTTGTAGGGAGTAGGAGATACTTATGGGGAAAACAGGTCATTTATAGGGTTTATTCTATTTTGATTTTTTGGATTTTGTTATGGTTATTTTCGGCATATTTTCAGTTACATTTACCAGGTTTCATACAGAAAAATGCACCTTGCTTAACTCAAAAGTGAATTTAAACACATAAGCACTTGATTTGTAACAAATGGACATATTTCAAAATTTTTTATCATAATTTATACTGTGTCATATTCTGATTTCGAAAGTATGTGGATCATCAGAATGCAAATTAGGATGCACTATCCAGGTTTTCCTGGAATGATCAACCATGTAAAATGTTGGCATAAAAAGGGAAATTTTACGGAAAATGTTATATTTGTATGGGGGTGGGGGAAATATATGTTTGAGGCATGGGGGAAACGTATGGATTTTTAGCATTCGCTTTAGGTGAAAATAGGATGTTTAGAGTGGCAGCACTGTTTACATTTAAAATATGCTTACTTGTGGAGTGGAAGTTTCTGACTTTGCAGCAAATGCATCACATCTTCCAAAACAGCTTCGTTAATGCAACCATGGTTAAGTTGGTGCATTGATTTTTTTGCCAGCTGGACACAATACTCATGTGTTGGTTTGCTAAATGATGGGTACTCTTGCACAGCTTTCTCACTCAAGTCAAATGTAACTTTATCCAAAATCATGTCATCTTCCTCTCGATGGGTTTGAATAGTTTCCACTTCCTTGATAAAATTCTGAGCTTTAAGGTTTTCCTCCACATTCTTTTTCCATGATAATACTTTGGTGTCTGTTGACATGCCCATCTTTTTTTGGAGATTTACCACACTTTCAGGGGACATGCAGATACCAAGACGGTTAAGCCGGACTCTGTCATAGTAACTTGCACCACTTTTAAATAATATTAGCGAGATTCTGCACGCATAAGCAGATAACTTTGCATTCCTAGATCTTGCTAAAGCGGACGTAGCAAGGGCCATAGCATTCAAGGCATGGTCCACACGGTTTTGAGAAGATGTACTGTTTTGAGGTGATGCGCCACAGGCTCCACTCATAGTTGCTGACCAAAGTGGGCATTTAACATTAACTTCGTGAACAAGGATTTTATTGCTGAATGCGGCTAATTCATCTGGTGAAGACCCGCTTAAAATGCTGTCAGAACTGAACGAACGCGGAAATTCTGCGGCGCCGACTTCCCTATTCAAAACTTTAGGTAGGTGCTCCCGGATATCGGTGTGCTTAAACACAATATTCGCAACAGTACTCCAGTTTTTAAGAGCAATATTTTTTATAAGGGAAGAGGTCAGTTTATCAAACGATTCCTTCACAACAACTCTTTGAATTTGGATAGCTGATTAAAACACGAACTTGGCTTTCTTTCTCGTTCGGAATAATTGTCTCAATGTTCATTAGATTGTGTACTTCATCGTCCGTTACCCGTTGAACTTGTGCATCAGTATCATGATCGCTATTTCCCTCATCCACAAATAATCCTCTCCTTGGAGAATATTTGTTCTTTTCACTCACAACTGCCTTCTCCGCAACTGATTGCTTTACAGTGCAACTAGTTCGGCCTTGTCGGTGACATTGTCTTTCAGGCGTCACTGTTGTAGGAAGCTGTCGCTTTTGACGTGCAGGACTTCGATTTTTAGTACATTCAGATTCAATCTGAATTATCTAACTTATCTTTCAAGAAAGTGAAGTTTTCGTGGACATTCCTTATTTTTCGTCCACAAGGACGGCATATTCTTTCCGAAAGAAGAGGCGATTTTTGTACTGGCAAGCCGACAATTTCACACGCTTGTGAAAGTATTAAACCTTTACTCTCTTTTCTTCCCGACGCCTTAAAAAGATTCTCGAAAGAAACTCTACCTGATCCAAATTCAATCTTTAAATTACATTTACATATTCTGCATAAATCGTTCACAGAGCTACTCGTATTTATACGCTTCGCTGGCTTTTTCGGTGTATTGTTGTCCGCCATTTATTTGCATATAATTTACATATGCAAATAAATTAAATAAATATTCTCACTTCCGCTATGATCTTATTGGCTAATGATAATATGGGCGTGTAGTGGGCGGAATGAAAAATACCGGGGCATTACGGCAGGCTCTCCCTCTTGCGCCCCCCCCCCCAAAAAAAAAAAATTTCTCCCCCAAACCCAGAGAGCCTGCCACGCAGGCTACTCGAAACGTCGAAATTCTCCTTATATTTTTAAGTCAAGCGAAATCGTATATTAAAACTGATTACGCAATATCATTCAATAACTATAAACTAGCCAATACTTTTCGCCGAACATAACTTCGGGCTCTTGGGACATATCTTCTTTGTAATAGTCTTGTTCGAATTATTATCCAACAGAGTGTTATTTTCAAGCTTGTATCGTCAACGTACTGTTCATCTTTTATTACGTTACTTATACAGGGTGTCCCAAAAAACACCAAAACTATTGAAATAAGTTAATTAAATTAAACTAGGGTACCTGCAAGGTAGGGATTGCTGCAGGCATTAAAAGCAAATATAACTACAGTAAACAGCACAAATTATATCAAGCACAGTGATTACTCGCAGCGACTAGTGAGCGGTGAATGGAACTGAGAAGAAGCAATATATATTGAAGTAGCAAAGACCAGGGGTTAAAGGGCAATCAGAGGTGACAGAAATTAAACATGTGCGTCTCATTGACATACAGGTAAATTAAGATCAGACATGACGACCCGCACGCCTATAAATTGAATTACCTTGAAGGTGTTAGTTACCACAGCATTATTAGTCGAGGTGGTAAGAGTGGTGACATGTATAATAAATTTATAGTGAAATAATTTATGCGTGCATGAAATTTAACCCCATAGATATGATGTAGCAAATAACTAACTGAGCTAACATACAAACCAGGTTGTCATCACCAATTCATAATAATGTTAGCAGACAATGCCGCGCAAAGTTCAAATTGCGCCAAAATGGTCTGAAGAAGAGTGCATTCTGCTTGACAATCGTGTGTATGGATTCAGGATGGAGATCAAGATCGAACAAACTGGCAATATTTTGATAGCTGCTTATTAAAGAATAAAGATTAAAGATTAATGCGAAGTATTTTCAATCAATAAGGTTAGGTAATAGTCAAAAGGCTATAGCCTATAGGTATTGCAGCACGCATCAGTTATTATTTCTTTAGTATACAGTATGCTAGATACCACGGCTTTCAAGCAGGGCTATCACAACCGCGAGTTGATTGTACTATATTCGTTATTTAATATACTCATTTCTATATTTTGATACAAGGTAGCTCAAGACAAATAATATTTATTTACATATATATACCGGGTGGCGCAAAAAAAGTTCAGGCGTTTGATCTACCATAGCGAAAAAACTATAAGAGCTATACATCGCTCAAATAAATGTAGCTGTATTCATAAATGGCTAACTTAAATTTTGATAGGTTATACATGAGATATCACGAAATATTGACTGAGATATCAGCGTTCAAATTAAACTTGCGTAAGCATTTTCAAAAGAATCGAAAATTAGTCTAAAATGGCCCATTGAACTAAATTTGATGTCATTCATTAGACATTACGCTGGGCGTTGCCAGATTATTTCCCGGGCGAGCTAGTGATGAGTAAACGCGGAGATGAGCCGTACCCCTGGCTTTCAGATTTGACAATATCCAATATTTTTGTGGCTATACCTATAGAGTATAGTTGAAATATCAAATTGGGAGTATGCCACATCGACAGCGCTAGGTTTTGGAATAATATCTAGAATACTTTTAGTGAAAACTCTTGTGTCAGAAAGATGTCCCATCTTTTGCTGACAGGTTATGAAGATGTCCCATCTTTTCTTAACCAGTGGAAGCTTTAAAGGAGTCTTATATTATTCTTTACATTAGGCTAAGTTAGAGTAAGGCGGTGCAGCTTGCGCTAGGTTTTGGAATAATATCTAGAATATTTTAGTGAAAACTCTTGTGTCAGAAAGATGTCCCATCTTTTGCTGACAGGTTATGAAGATGTCCCATCTTTTCTTAACCAGTGGAAGCTTAAAAGGAGTCTTATATTATTCTTTACATCACGCTAAGTTAGAGTAAGGCGATGCAGCTTGCGCTATAGGTTTTGGAATAATATCTAAAATACTTTTAGTGAAAACTCTTGTGTGAGAAAGATGTCTCATCTTTTGCATGCTGACAGGTTATGAAGATGTTCCATCTTTTCTTAACCAGTGGAAGCTTAAAAGGAGTCTTATATTATTCTTTACATCACGCTAAGTTAGCGTAAGGAGGTGCAGCTTGCGCTATAGGTTTTGGAATAATATCTAGAATACTTTTAGTGAAAACTCTTGTGTCAGAAAGATGTCTCATCTTTTGCTGACAGGTTATGAAGATGTCCCATCTTTTCTTAACCAGTGGAAGCTTAAAAGGAGTCTTATATTATTCTTTACATCACGCGAAGTTAGAGTAAGGCGGTGCAGCTTGGGCTATAGGTTTTGGAATAATATCTAGAATACTTTTAGTGAAAACTCTTGTGTCAGAAAGATGTCCCATCTTTTGCTGACAGGTTATGAAGATGTCCCATCTTTTCTTAACCAGCGGAAGCTTAAAAGGAGTCTATAATATTATTCTTTACACCACGCTAAGTTAGAGTAAAGCGGCGCATGCAGCGATAGCGCTAGGTTTTGGAATAATATCCAGAATACTTTTAGTGAAAACTCTTGTGTCAGAAAGATGTCCCATCTTTTGTTGACAGGTTATGAAGATGTCCCATCTTTTCTTAACCAGTGGAAGCTTAAAAGGAGTCTTATATTATTCTTTACATCACGTTAAGTTAGAGTAAGGCGATGCAGCTTGTGCTATAGGTTTTGGAATAATATCTAGAATACTTTTAGTGAAAACTCTTGTGTCAGAAAGATGTCCCATCTTTTGCTGACAGGTTATGAAGATGTCCCATCTTTTCTTAACCAGTGGAAGCTTAAAAGGAGTCTTATATTATTCTTTACATCACACTAAGTTAGAGTAAAGCGATGCAGCTTGTGCTATAGGTTTTGGAATAATAGCTAGAATACTTTTAGTGAAAACTCTTGTGTCATAAAGTTGTCCCATCTTTTGCTGACAGGTTATGAAGATGTCCCATCTTTTCTTAACCAGCGGAAGCTTAAAAGGAGTCTATAATATTATTCTTTACATCACGCTAAGTTAGAGTAAAGCGGCGCATGCAGCGATAGCGCTAGGTTTTGGAATAATATCCAGAATACTTTTAGTGAAAACTTTTGTGTCAGAAAGATGTCCCATCTTTTGCTGACAGGTTATGAAGATGTCCCATCTTTTCTTAACCAGTGGAAGCTTAAAAGGAGTCTTATATTATTCTTTACATCAGGCTAAGTTAGAGTAAAACGGTGCATGGATGCATGCAGCGATAGCGCTAGGTTTGGGAATAATTTCTAGAATACTTTTAGTGGAAACTCTTGTGTCAGAAAGATGTCCCATCTTTTGCTGACAGGTTATGAAGATGTCTCATCTTTTCTTAACCAGCGGAAGCTTAAAAGGAGTCTATAATATTATTCTTTACATCACGCTAAGTTAGAGTAAAGCGGCGCATGCAGCGATATAGCGCTAGGTTTTGGAATAATATCTAGAATACTTTTAGTGAAAACTCTTGTGTCAGAAAGATGTCCCATCTTTTGCTGACAGGTTATGAAGATGTCCCATCTTTTCTTAACCAGTGGAAGCTTAAAAGGAGTCTTATATTATTCTTTACATCACGCTAAGTTAGAGTAAAACGGTGCATGGATGCATGCAGCGATAGTGATAGGTTTGAGAATAATATCTAGAATACTTTTAGTGGAAACTCTTGTGTCAGAAAGATGTCCCATCTTTTGCTGACAGGTTATGAAGATGTCCCATCTTTTCTTAACCAGTGGAAGCTTAAAAGGAGTCTTATATTATTCTTTACATCACGCTAAGTTAGAGTAAAACGGTGCATGGATGCATGCAGCGATAGCGCTAGGTTTGGGAATAATATCTAGAATACTTTTAGTGGAAACTCTTGTGTCAGAAAGATGTCCCATCTTTTGCTGACAGGTTATGAATATGTCCCATCTTTTCTTAACCAGTGGAAGCTTAAAAGGAGTCTTATATTATTCTTTGCCTCACAACGCAGGCGCGGGCATAGGTTCCGTAGATTAGCTATAAGACAATGGTGTCAATGCAGCTATTGTTTTTGGAATAATATATACATTTGATATATACGTTGGTGAAAACGTTTGTACCAGATTCATGTGCGCACTAGGGCCTATAGGGAAAGGCGGTATAATTATATAACTTCATAAGTCAGTTTCTTTATTATTACCTATAGAAAACTTACGCCTTTGAAGCCGGACTTTTATACTGCCAAGATCTAAAACGGCAAATATGTTCCGCGGTCTTGACATGGAATTATCGTGCTATTCTCTAAGATACCAAGAACGTTTTGTTTTACAACACACAAGTCTTAATATTATTACATATTATACGCAGCCTTATTACACATTGTACGCTATATAGTATAGCCTGGCCCTAGGTGACTTGTCAACAGTCAGCATTGTGACATATTTGTACACTTTTATTTTAATGCATAACAGAAAATTAACTTATTACTTGCTTGGTTTCACACTGCGTCTAAGCAACTGAACCTGGATTGATGACATCTTATAGCGGTAATTAATAATGCGATTAGCGTTGCTCGCTTCCTGAAGTTGCAAACTCAGTTTGCAGATCCCGCTGTTTTTCAAAACGTGCGGGTCGTCATGTTAACCACGGTGGTTTAACCCATTAGCTGGCAATGCGCCCTTCCCTTGTCAAGCGCCAGAAGATTTTACTGGTCAGTGGTATAGGGTACTGCCAGTAAATGGGTTAACAAACCTATCTGCCAATGGCTCTTGTTAATTCATCAGCGCAGTAATGACCCCTACTTTAGTATTTACCCTGTCCAACGCCAGACGTTTTAATACTCAGTCAGTGGTAGGGTACTGTCAATAAATGGGTTAACAAGGATAACAATAATTAGCCTGTATGGCAGGCGGT